GTGGAAACCAGAAATCAGAATCTCGGCCATTCCAGACTTATGAAATATCAAAATTGAACTTTGCAGTTTGAGTACAGATTTAAAAGGATTTTTTTCTAAAATAATGAAGATATTCAACAACTAGCCAGATACGGAGTCAATAGTGCAAAATTAGTGTAAAAACTGAATTTTAGATAAATGGGAAAAAGTTTTGTTAGACCCAATTTTTATGGCGAAATTTTTCAAAATTATACAATATTTCGCTTAAACGAACCCCGCATAATGCGAAAATTGATGTATGTACAAAATCGAGTCTCCTTAAAATATGTCTGAGCCCAAAATAATTTCCAGGTTGTCCTGAATTTTTCATGAATTTTTGATCCGTCACACACCTCCAAAATTTTTACCACATTCACATTTAAAAAATTCGGATTTTTACCCATAGCTGTGTGAAATTTGGTTTCTGGTCTAATGCGAGCCTTCTGAAAAAGAATCTCACTATTAAAAATTTGTCCGGGTTGTCGTGATTTTTTTTTTTTGAAAATTTTTTTCATAGAGTTTTCCCAAAAAATGGAACCGTTCTATTTTTTGGCCCGTGGATTTCACATGGATATAGATTAGGGCCTAAAAAATTATTGAATTGTTTAAAATAGTTCAAGAAATCGAATAAGGAAAACCAGAAATCAGAATCTCATGCCATTTCGGACTTATAAGTAATAAAAATTTAACTTTGCATTTTGAGTATAGATTTAAGAGTATTTTTTTTAAATAATGAAGATATTCATTCATCAACCAATGCCAGAAACGGACTCGGTGGTGCAAAGTTAGTGCAGAAACGGAATTTTAAGTAAATGGGAAAAAGTTTTTTTAGACCCACTTTTTTCGAACTTATCGTATGGTGAATTTTTTCAAATGTATACAAGATTTGGCTTAAACGAGATCCAAATCACGTGAAAATTGCTGAATATACAGAATAGAATCTCCTGGGAAAGTGTCTGAATCCAAACAAATTTCCAGGCCGTCCTGAATTTTTTATGAATTTTTGATTCGTCACACACCTGCAAATTTTTATTCCACACGCTTCAAATTTCGAAAATTTGGATTTTAGGCTATAGCTGCCGGAAATTCATTTCCCGGTTTAATTTGAGCTTTCTGGAACAGAATTTCACTATTAAAAATTTCTCCGAGCTGTCGTGACTTTTTTGAAAATTTTATTCATAGAGATTTCCGAAAAATGGAACCGTTCTATTTTTTGTCCCGTGGATTCCACATAGATATAGATTAGGGTACAACAATTTATTGAATTGTTTAAAAAGTTCAAGAAATCGAATAGTGAAAACCAGAAATCAGAATCTCATGCCATTCCGGACTTATGAGTAATCAAAATTGAACTTTGCATTTTGAGTATAGATTTAAGAGTATTTTTTCTAAAATAATGAAGATATTCATCAACTGATGCCAGAAACGGACTCAGTTGTACAAAAATAGTGCAGAAATTGAATTTCAAGTAAATGGGAAAAAGTTTTTTTAGACCCAATTTTTTCGAACTCATCGTATGATGAATTTTTTCAAATTTACACAATATGAAGCCAATTCGATTAAACGAACCCCAAATTATGTGAAAATTGCTGTTGTACAAAATCGGGTCTCCTCAAAAAGTGTCCGAGCCCAAAAAAAAATCCAGGATGTCCTGAATTTTTTATAAATTTTTGATTCGTCACACCCTTCCAAATTTTTACCATGTTTCAAATTTCGAAAATTCGGATTTTAGCCCATACCTGTCTGAAATTTGGCTTCCGGTCGAATTCGATCTTCCTGAAAAAGAATTTCACTATTAAAAATGTCTCTGGGCTATCGTGATTTTTTTTTTTGAAAATTTTATTGATGGAGTTTTCCGAAAAATGGAACCGTTCTATTTTTTTGTCCGTGGATTCTAAATTGACATCAATTCTCTAAAACTTGATTAGCATAATGAAAAAAATTTAAGGAATCGAATGGTGAAAACCAGAAATCAGAATCTCATACTATTCCGGAGTTATGAGATATCATAGTTGAACTTGAACTTTGGGTATAGATTTAAGAGGATTTTTTATAAAATAAGAAAAATATTCAACAACTGACGCCAGAAACGGACTCAGTGGTGCATAATTATTGTAAAAACTGAATTTTAGTTAAATAGGAAAAAGTTTTTTTAGACCCACTTTTTTTGGTGAAATTTTCCAAAATTATACAATATTCCGCTTAAACGAACTCCGAATGATGTGAAAATTGCTGTATGTACAAAGTCGAGTCTCCTTAAAAATGTCTGAGCCTAAAATAATTTCCAGGTTGTCCTGAATTTTTCATGAATTTTTGATTCGTCGCATACCTCCAAAAATTTTACCACATGCTTCAAATTTCGAAAATTTGGATTTTAGCCCATAGCTGTCTGAAATTTTATTTCCGGTCTAATTCGAGCCTCCTGAAAAAGAATCTCACCATAAAAAAATTCTCCGGGCTGTCGTGATTTTTTTTGAAAATTTTATTCATAGAGTTTTCCGAAAAATGGAACCGTTCTATTTTTTTGTCCGTGGATTCTAAATTGACATCGAGTTCGCCGTAAAGCTTGATTGCCATAATGAAAAAACGTTAAGGAATCGAATGGTGGAAACCAGAAATCAGAATCTCATGCTATTCCGGAGTTATGAGATATCAAAATTGAACTTTGCACTTTGGGTATAGATTTAAGAGGATTTTTTATAAAATAAGGAAAATATTCAACAACTGATGCCAAAAACGGACTTACTGGTGCATAGTTATTGTAAAAACTGAATTAGAGTTAAATTGGAAAAAGTTTTTTAGACCCATTTTTTATGCTGAAATTTTTCAAAATTATTCAATATGTCGCTTAAACGAACCCCGAATTATGTGAAAATTGCTGTATGTACAAAATCGAGTCTCCTTAAAAAATGTCTGAGCCCAAAATAATTTCCAGGTTGGCCTGAATTTTTCATGAATTTTTGAATCGTCACACACCTCTAAAATGTTTACCACATGCTTCAAATTTCGAAAATTCGGATTTTAGCCCACAGCTGTCTGAAATTTGGTTTCTGGTCTAATTCGAGCTTCCTGAAAAAGAAGCTCACTATTAAAAATTTCTTCGGGTGTCCTGATTTTTTTTTTGGATTTTTATTCATAGAGTTTTCCGAAAAATGGAACCGTTCAATTTTTTTGCCCGTGGATTCTAAATTGACATCGAGTTCGCCGTAAAGCTTGATTGACATAATGAAAAAACGTTAAGGAATCGAATGGTGGAAACCAGAAATCAGAATCTCATGCTATTCCGGAGTTATGAGATATCAAATTTGAAATTTGCATTTTGGGTATAGATTTAAGAGAATTTTTTATAAAATGAGGAAAATATTCAACAACTGACGCCAGAAACGGACTCAGTGGTGCATAATTATTGTAAAAACTGAATTTTAGTTAAATGAGAAAAACCTTTTTTAGACCCATTTTTTTATGGTGAAATTTTTTAAAATTATACAATATTTCACTTAAACGAACCCCGAATTATGTGAAAATTGCTGTATGTACAAAATCGACTCTCCTTAAAAAGTGTCTTAGCCCAAAATAATTTCCAGGTTGTTCTGAATTTTCCATGAATTTTTGATTTGTCACACGCCTCCAAAATTTTTAGCACAAGCTTCAAATTTCGAAAATTCGGATTTTAGCCCATAGCTGTCTGAAATTTGATTTCTGGTCTAATTCGAGCCTCCTGTAACAGAATCTCACTATTAAAAATATCTCCGGGCTGTCGTGATTTTTTTTTGAAAATTTTATTCATAGTTTTCCGAAAAATGGAACCGTTCTATTTTTTTGCCCGTGAATTCCACATGGATATAGATTAGGGCCTAAAAATTTACTGAATTGTTTAAAAAACTTCAAAAAATCGAATAATGAAAACCAGAAATCAGAATCTCATTCCATTCCGGACTTATGAGTAATCAAAATTGAACTTTGCATTTTGAGTATAGATTTAAGAGTATTTTTTCTAAAATAATGAAGATATTCATCATCTGATACCAGAAACGAACTCAGTGGTGCAAAATTAGTGCAGAGATTTTAAGTAAATGGGAAAAAGTTTTTTTAGACTCAGTTTTTTCGAACTCATCGTATGGTGAAATTTTTCAAATGTATACAATATGAAGCTACTTGGCTTAAACGAGATCCAAATTACGTGAAAATTGCTAAATGCACAAATTCGAGTCTCCTGAAAAAATGTCTGAGTCCAAAAAAATTTCCAGGCCGTCCTGAATTTCGTATGAATTTTTGATTCGTCACACACCTTCAAATTTTTTTCCACACGCTTCAAATTTCGAAAATTCGGATTTTAAGCCATAGCTGTCTAAAATTAATTTTCCGGTCTAATTTGAGCTTTCTGAAAAAGAATCTCACTATTAAAAATTTCTCCGAGCTGTCGTGACTTTTTTGAAAATTTTATTCAAAGGCCTTCCCGAAAAATGGAACCGTTCTATTCTTTAGCCCCTAGATTCCAAATGGATATAGATTACGGCCTAAAAATTTATTGAATTGTTTAAAAAACTTCAAGAAATCGAATAATGAAACCCAGAAATCAGAATGTCGTGCCATTCCGGGCTTATGACATATCAAATTTGAACTTTGCATTTTGAGTACAGATTTAAGAGGATATTTTCTAAAATAATGGAAATATTCAACAACTGACGCCATAAACGGACTCAGTGGTGCAAAATTAGTGTAGAAACTGAATTTTAAGTAAATGCTAACAAGTTTTTTCAGACCCAATTTTTTCGAACCCATCGTATGGCGAAATTTTTCAAATTTAAACAATATGAAGCTAATTCGATTAAACGAACCCCGAATTATGTCAAAATCGGGTCTCCTCAAAAAGTGTCCGATCCCAAAAAAAAACCAGGATGTTCTGAAGTTTTGATTCGTCACACACTTCCAAATTTTTACCGTATGTTTCAAATTTCGAAAATTCGGATTTTGGCCCATACCTGTCTGAAACTTGGCTTCCGGTCGAATTCGATCTTCCTGAAAAAGAATCTCACTATTAAAAATTTCTCCGGGCTATCGTGATTTTTTTTTTTGAAAATTTTATTGATAGAGTTTTCCGAAAAATGGAACCGTTCTATATTGTCCTTGGATTCTAAATGGACATCGATTCCGCCGTAAAACTTGATCAAAATAATGAAAAAACTAAGGAATCGAATGGTGGAAACCAGAAATCAGAATCTCATGCCATTCGGGAGTTATGAGATATCAAAGTTAAACTTTAAGAGGAATTTTTTCTAAAATAATGAAGAAATTCAACAACTGACACCAGAAATGGACTCAGTAGTGCAGAAATAATTAGTAGAAATCTATCACCCAGATTTTTTTTTTGGGATTTTTTTCAAAAGCTCCCTTGTTTGAAAATTTTGATTTTTGATTTTTCACGAATTGTAGGGATTTTAGGATTTTTTTAATTATCAAAATCTATTAATAGCGGAAAATTTCATAAGAATTCGGATACGTCTAAAGTATGAAAAAATAAGGCTCCCGTTTCCGTCTCTCTGTGTCCTGTCGCCCGTTTTTTTTTGCCCTTTGGTTACTTTTTTTGTCGTTGTCTTACTATTTACTGTTTCTTTTATTGTTTTTCTTTGTAGCAATTTTTTGTCGTTTTCTCGGTTTTGTTGTTGTCTTATATTGTAATAGGATTAATCCAGAAAATGGCTACTTTCTTGTTTTGTCGTTGTTTTAGGACTACTTGAGAGCAAAAAATAAAAAGGAATATCGAGTAAATGGTCAAACGCCAACAAGAATCTAATTAGTTTAACATAGCAAGCTCACACTTACAAATAAAAAAAAATATCAGAATTTTAAACATTATTTTGACAACTTGGGGACACAAATAAATTTAGTTATACACGAACACTATGTGTATAAAAAAAAAACAAGTGTCCATTGTTGGATCTCTAATAATACAATTAAAACATAACATCAATTGTGATACGTCTCCTCATCCGAACACTCTTCATTTTCCGACAAAATAGCAGTTCACGTACTGTTTCCCTATACAAATTTTTGTACTGATCATGTCCTTTGCAATGGGGCTTCACACACAAGCTTCACGCACGAGCAGGAACTAATAATGTAAATATTCTAGACAGCAAAATCGTATACACATGTCTACAACTTGCAACTTAAATTCAAATTGAATTGTTCAAACTAGTAACGTCCGGCGCATTTACTCACATCAAAATCATTCCAAACAAAAATGATTTTGTACGATATAGCGTAATTCCACCCCGACGCGACCCGACAACCCGGAATGCCAGCCCATCTTAACAAAGTTTTCGTCGAATCGCACGTTCCCAACACAGCCCCGACGGAAACAAGAGGTCCACATTTTCGTATTCGACAGCCGTGAAATGCCATAAACACGAAACCAGACGTTCGTCAAACCGACCCCACCGCCCCACTTCCCGACCCATCGCCCGGGAAATAATATCCGCACTAATTTTAATTATAACTTCCACTATCTGTTAGCAAACTCTCTCGCTCCGCCGCCCAAATCACCAAATCTGTCTCTCCCCTCAAATAACCCGATAAAGCGAAATTGCAAGAATGTGGGGAGAAAAAGCAGTCGGATCTGTACAGATAGATACTCGTACGCGTTCGAGGCCATTGACTGTTTTCCATCATCATCCTTTTTCCTCCAGCGGCTTTAGGTCATTTGGAAATATCACGAGAAGCAAAGTTTGACCAAATTGACCCTTGTCAAGACGATGTGATAACCATTCGACGGAGACGCGTTTCAAATATCTTCCCTTAACACGCCATTCGATAGATGTTATTGGAGTGTTACGCAGGTTGGACGAGTGCCAGCGATTACCGGGGGCTCGGTAAATTCTTGTCGTAGTTTTAATTACCGCTGTCCGCGTCTGCATGCGCTTGACAGCCGCTGATTGAAACAGTGGCTGTGCATTATTTTGCGATGGGGTTGTTTCGGGGGAAAAACCTGTTAAATTTGCACGGAATAACGTCATTGTGTAATGGCGGCGGGGAAAAAATGGTGGATGCGCCGGGCGAAGCGGCGTGAAAGATTTATGCGAGCTTTTGGAATAAAATTCAAAGTCATTTTTACTTCCTAAGGAAGTATTGTAATCCAGTACATCCTTCCGTCTGTCTGTTGACAAATATTATTGTATATTAGAAATATCATGTAGATGATAGAACGTCAACCAAAAATTGAAAATAGTATCGAAATAACCTCAGACCAATTTTTTAATAAAATAGGAATCGCTCCGTAAATAGCAATCCAATCAGCTTGGTCTATTTTTAGACCTGGGCGTTAAAGTATACTGAAATAATTTAATAGCTAGTTATTAATTACCTTGTAGGCGTTTTAATAGCTTGTATAACTTTTCCCGAAATCGGAATTAAAATCACTCTTAATTATACGGTTTCGTCCCAGACTTTGTCGCTGTGTAGTCTCTAAGGACTTTAAGGTCAAAGTGCAAATTTTAAATTTTATACTAGTTGTATGTGAGAACGTTTTGGTCGTTAGGGCACTGACAAAAACAAATTTATCTATTTATAAATATAAAAAAAAATGTGAAGTGGTTAAAACTCGCTTTTCCTTAACAATCCAAATAAATCAACCCTCTTTAAGCGCTAAGGAAACAAATGGGAGCACTAAACAAACATCGAAAGCAGGTGAAAGTGTTCCAATTACTCGTGAACATTGCAACTACTACAGTGTTGAATTAGTTGCAATTTGATGCTAAGTTTATTTCATTTACGTGCTCAGGTTGGTGACAGTGTTTTACGACGCTCTTAAACACCAAGAAATAAAGTAATTCCCTATTTGACATAAACATTTTTTACATTTTTAATAAAACGTGAAAACTAGTATTACACATTTTAGGAAGTCGTAAACGGTTTATATTACTTGTGGTAGTACTAAGAAGGTCAGAACTACGGTCATAAAGCTTTTATCGTTGTTAAATATCTTCAGTAACATCACTCCAGCAACTCATGAAACAAATAAGTCGTAATAGTAAACTGAAAATTTGTTGTAGTCTAGTTAGTTTAGTGTTATTGGAATAAATTTTGAAGTCCAATATTATGTTGTCTGTAATAAAAATAAACACAGAAATTCAGAAACCAATAACTTACTTTACGTATAAATCAGAGATGTTCAGATTCAATTTTAAAAATGAATTGCAGGATCGGAGTCTTGAGAACAATTAAATGTGATGGATTCCCTAAATTTGGTGTCTCTTTGTATGATTGGATCTATTTTTAGTTCTGTTTTGTAACTGATCGATAGACTGACATGTAATAAATCCTGATGAAATTACGAAATTATATTCTCACATTGATGGATTCAGTCAAATCATTTATAAAATCACATCGATTATTATTATATATATATTTTTTCGATTTATGTAAACCTAAAAACTACAGTCATACTTCAGAAATCAATATAAATAACTTCAAAGAAAAAGACAATGTTTCAAAAATCCTTTTTAAAACTAGAGAGCATATTGTAGGTGACGAGTTCCTCCAGGAATATTTGCCATAATTTTTCACTCTTTTATAAATATATTTTTTTATTGTTGAAATTTTTCTTGGTTGTCTTGGTTACATAGTGAAGACAATGGCTATCGCAAAATCACATACAGTCATCAGGATAAAAGATAGTAGGTGTCCAGTTTCGCCAAGAAATCTCCACGAACAATGTTAGAGATTAGGTCCTTTCCTTAGTTTATGATCGAGAAGTAAAAAACAACAGAAAGCAACAAAAATCCATAAAAAAACGGGAGACTACATTTTTCGTACTGTAGGGATCATGAAACGTCGAGAAAACATTAAAGTGGCCAATCGTCCGATGGACTCGACTACAATCTAGAAAAATGATGTCAAAAATGCGACAAGAAGAAAAGTGACAAACATATCCGACTAAAAACTAACAACAAAAACCTGGCAAAAAATGAGCAAAAACAGATACCCAAAACGGAAAAAAGTAACAAAACCCTGACAAAAAAGTAACAAAAAACCGGCAAAAAGTCAGAACACAGCAAGAGAAAAGATAGTCAAAAAATACTATGAAAAATGGAACAAAAAAATAATGCAGGCTACGACAGACAGGCGACAGACAGACAACAGACAGACGACAGACGGACGACAAACAAACGGAAGCACGAGACGGAATTTTTTGCTTTCAAGGAGTCATAAAACACGAGAAAATATTAAAGTAGCCATTTGTTAGAACGATCCTATTACAATATAAGCCAACAAAAAATGACAAAAAAATTACTCCAAGAAAAACAACAAAAATCCACAAAAAGCGCTCGAAAAGGAAGAATAAAGACAAAAAAACGACAAAAAAAGCTCCAAGAAGTGACCCAAAAAGCCACAAAAAGCCATAACAAATTCGCAAGAAAAGGAGTGAAAAAATGATATAAAAAAAGTATTTTGAAAAAAGCGACAAAAAATGTGCCAGAAAAAATAAGAAGTAACAAAACTACAAAAAGAGCGACAAATAAATTAAGACAAATGATGAATGATAGACAGACGATAAACAGCTGACCGATACACAAAGAGAGAGACGGAAACGGGAGACTTATTTTTTTTGTACTTTAGAAGTCATGAAACGTCGAGAAAATATGAAAGTATCCATTCGCCGAATGAACCCCATTACAATATTTAGTGAGCTTAGCCTCAATTTAAAAAGCGATAAAAAAGAATATAAAAAGCCACCAAGAAGGTCACCAATATGCGACGAAATATTAACAAAAAAATAACAAAAACGACAGAAAATTTCTACCAAAAAAAAGAAAAAGACGATAAAAACAGTGTCCAAAATGCAACGAAAAAAGTAGCACAAAAGGAAGCGAAAAAGACTGCAAAATAGGTGAAAAAAGTAACATAAGCAACAAAAAAATCCACAAAAAAACTAACAAAAAAAAACGCGTCTGAAACGAACAACGAAAGCCTGGCAAAAATGAGCAAAAAACAGATACCAAAAAGTGGAAAAAAGTAAA